GTAGTTCGTCCCTCGCGCGACGCAAGGTCAACGTGCACTTTGACCATAAAAATTGGGTCGCGTTCGGGCATGCGACGGGGTTGCGATGGGGGGTTCGCTACAGGTCGCGAATAGTTTTTGTGACGCTGTAGAAGAAGTGTTCAAAGGATGATATTGATCACTTGATTGCAAATACAGAGGAAGCTTTCAATGCTTCAGGCTTGGTGTCTGGAGGTAGCAACAATTGCAAGCTGGATCACATGAGAAAAAAAGTCTATTATGYAGAGAGTGGTACCTCCGAACATCGATTATCATTTTGGTGTTCTACTAGTACACAACAACCCTACTACAGTGGCTACTATAGTTTAGGGACAGCAATCATTCATGGACAACAAAAAAGTCACACTAGCTACTATAGGACAGTCATATAGAAGGAGAAAGTACTTCATTCCTGAAAACAAAGTCTGAAGATGATTCTCTTCTTGCCCACTCTACTAGGTAGTACTACTACTAGTACTACTACTAGTAGCATCTGCAACGAGTACCGTAGGAACAGTACGGAGGATCACTCGTGGATCCAATCATGAGTCCCCGGGACCCAAAACTATATATATATATAYCGACCGAAAACTATATAGTACTACTAGTACTATTAGTAGTACTACTAGTACACGAGTACTATATCATATATATATACTAGTACACAAATCGAAGCACTAATATATACAGATCAGTATATAACTGTATATACATACTTCCTCTTTACTAATTCTCAGAACGAGAATTAGAATTCAGAACAGAACTAATCGATTGGGAGTTCTGTTCTAAAGTCGCTCAGTACAAGCAGTACCAAGTTGTACGCCATCTGAGAACTAAGGAAAGTAGCACACACTTGACTTGTACTGCTTGGATGTATATTTCTAGTACTATCGATTACTCTATCGATTACAAGGAAAGGATCAGCACAACACGAAGGATCGTGTAGTGGTGAATCCTTTGAGCAATTCAGTTTATTCATTAGTTTAGTCTCACAATCCTAATTAGAGCAATCTACTAATAAACACTACTACTACTACTACTACTACTACTACTACTACTACTACTACTACTACTACTACTACTACTACTACTACTACTACTACTACTACTACAAAGTACACGTAAGCATCATACAATTTGGCCACCTTAGTACTACTAGTAGTACTACTAGTAGTACTACTAGTATTACTGCTACCAGTAGTACCAGTGTACTAGTAGTAGTAGTAGGAGTCCGCCTGTAACAACCCCCTCCTGTTTGCGTGATGGCATGCACCAGCAGCACTCACAGCAACAAGAATGTCAGAAGAATCATTGTTGTTTTTGCAGGGAAAAATCTTGATCAAAGAAGAAATTATCATTTTGGACCAGGACCAGCACCACCACCATAAGTCACAAGAGATCAAGTAGTAGTGGCACTAGCACTATTTACTGGCAGTAGTACTAGTAGATCTACCGTTCACGAAGGGTTAGAGGAAGCATCATTTTTTATTTTTTGGGTTCTTGTACTACTACCATATCGAAAACGGNGCAGTAGTACTAGTAGATCTACCGTTCACGAAGGGTTAGAGGAAGCATCATTTTTTATTTTTTGGGTTCTTGTACTACTACCATATCGAAAACGGACGTCAGACAGATTATGTTGCACTCACCTTGTTTGCCACCATACGGTACGATACGGTACGACCCTCTTTATTTTGATACTAGGTATCTAGGTATCMAGTCAACAGCTTCTACGCCCGCCATACAGAATGTTTTTCGAGTACCTGGTACTTTACCGTACTACAAGTACTACTTGGTACTTACCATGGAACAATAATCGGATTCAAATCCAAAAATGAAAAGCGGGAGATGTACATAATGACTGAAGGGCACGCGTATGCGACAAAATTGTCGCCGTTGAAAACTTCTGTTAMGGAATGCCATTATGTAAATCTAAATCGTTATTGAATAATGTCATTTGTTTAGACCTTAAACGGCTATTTTTCCAAGCGKAAATCGGGTTATGGAGTGCAGGCTCGGCCTTGACGCTGTTCATTCTCATCCTTGTTCCGCAAAATTTTAGCACCTGTTCGAAAAATAAATTGCGCTCTCTGGAGAGGTTACGTGCCGGTAAAGAACGTACCTCCGCAAGGCGCCAAAATCAATCTGTGCTTTGGGCTCCCATCGTACTCGTACTGCCTTCAAGAGAACAGACGATCATTAACCTGTACCGTACAGGGTAGCGTTCTCTACAAGAGCAAAACAATACATCAAGGACGACACGGAACTTGCATGAAAGGTTGTAAGAGATYCACATTGATTACGGTGCTGCCTCGACACTAGACAGTAATTTGCATTCCTGCCATGAAACTTTTCAGGTCCTACAAAGGTCGGAAAACCGAGGAAGAGGACCCAGTCCAAGCCACCATTGGCGACATCGACGATGAGTCGAACTATCCATACGAAGACGAGGTGAAGGCGGCAGCCGAGATGGAAAGCATTCTTGGAAATGCTGTCTCCATCACGGAACGCAACCACGGCAGCCTCCTCAGCCTGAGATCCAGAACCTTTGACAGCCTGGGTTCGCAAGAAGAWCTCTCGTTCTCCGACGGGCAGCTTCAAGAGAACGATTCCCACAGCTATGTTTCTAGATCCTCCTCGCTCCAGAGCGCGGCTTCCGTGACCACCTTCGTCAAGGTCGACAGGGGAGATCCCGYGACGCTGACGCGGAAATTCTGGGAGGCCATGCTGGCCGGGGAACAAAACCACGGTGTGCCGGACGACKTGGAATTCGCGAACGACCCGTCGGCGTCTCTGAAGAAAGTCCGCTCCTGGAGCAAGCTGCGGCAAGAAATCAAGGGGGAAGAGCGATCGCTGAGAGCGACGACGCGAACGATCGAGGGAAAAGAAAACACGGCACTTTCGCGCTCGATGTCCATGGGAAGAAAGGGTCTGAGCTCGCTGAAGAAAAATCTCAAAGAATCTAGCAGATGCATCAGCAAGTCCCAGAAAGAAGTATCAAGAAGCTTGGCTTCGAAAATGCAAAAATACCGCGGGGAAGATCAGGATCCTCCCATTCGAACTAGGTGTGCAAAAGACTACGACGTAGAGGTCTCGCTGCAAGAGCAGAAAAGCTTCTGGAACAGAAAATCATCTAGACCCAGGGAAGAATTCAGGAGTACCAGATCGTCTCGCGTTTTGAAATCAAAGCGTCGCCAGGACGACGGTGCCGATTGCAACCGGAGGAACGGATCCGGTGAATTCGCGAACGACTCCTGTGGCACACCCGTAACCGYCGGCGCAACCGATGATCTCTCAACCGATGTGCATGAAATCAAGTACGAGGTGACGGAWCAAAACCCAAACGTAGTTGTCGTACCCACGGCCGATGTCCTGTTTKAATCCCTGGAAGTTATTTGCTGCCATCAAACCGACACTYTGGACAGGATTACCGCAGCATTGCCTCCCCATATATAAACACAAAGGAAGGCGTGTTTATTACGAGTACGTATGATTCGCACACAATTTTTCGCTCCAAATAAGAGAAAAATATCGATGGCTGCTATTCATATCTTCGAAACAAGGTATTGTCTGCTCGTTGCATACGTTTCTATATCGTGGGCATCCATCAAGCGAAGCAATCCTAAACCAAAGACAGGGAGTGGGGCAACACTGCACTAAACACCACCGAGTGTAACTGCATCGCAAAACGAACGAGTCATTTCTACATCCTTCTACATCAAGCYTTTATGTGAACCAGTTTATTCTACGATACCGACGAGGACAGTAGAAAGAGTTCGTTTTGCGTTGGGAAGTTTGGAAATGCAAAACAATATATTAGAAATAGGGTTTATTAGATGACAACAATTTCAGCACGCTTGTTCCTCTSTTACATTCTTATCGACGAAGTACTGAACCAAGTTGTGGAAGGAATAGGTACGATATTCCTGCCAAACCAAGGCAAGCCAGGACATGTTTCAAAAAAGCAGAGTAAGCCAGTACTTAATAATCGTACTGCTAGTAGTACTATTATTATTCCTTGGTGCACGACAAATGGCAGATGSCGTGATTTTAGTTCTACTATTACTGATAGCTCCGAATACTAGCATCACCATGTGAAGCTCTTAGCAGGCAGTACCGTACCGTAGGAGACATGAACACACTGTTCACTAAAGGTGGTACACGTACTGCTGTATTAAAAGGGATACGAGCTTGCATCTGTTCGAGCGTGTCCCTTGCACCCCTGGCTTGTTCCCCCAAAATAGTCGGAGGAACACGAAGCGAATATCCTTAACAGTTGGTGGATCCTTCAACAAGATTCCTTCTTGTTCCTCCGAGAGCGAACAGAATTCCTGTACCAGTATGGATTACTTCTACGACGTCATGGACAGCAGTTTAATTGTAGAGAACCTCGATCTTTCAGTTCTTACAATCTTTCTGGATATTGTACAACCCAACGGCAAGACACGTTCTGTAAGAATCAAAMCCATTCCTGGGGCAATAGCAATACACAGATAGACATAGTACGCCTAGTGCTGACTCTATTATTTGGGAAGATGATAAAATTTCACTTTAAGGTTCCGGGCAYAATGAGCGAGCAAGAGTATCATGAAATTAGTTATAGTSTTGAATTCGGAACMGTTTGGAACAATTTAATTAGCTTAGTCAGGGCCAGATGACGTAAGTTCTTCTACCTACGCTGCTACATTTTCTTACATAGTGATCGTACATACGATATAAAATTCTACCAGAAAACGATGGAGATTCGTTCTCAGTGCCAAGTGGAAAGCGTTCATGCTTCATCCCTCCTTTGCATCTTCAAGTTGCGYGTCGTGGAAGCGGTTGCAAAGTGTGCTTGATTGATGTTTGTGAATTATTCTTACTGAAAATATTGTTACGATTCTAGACCAGGAATTTCGGATGTACCGTACTAAGCACGCTGTGTAGAAACTTGTATTARGCGAAGAACAGACATCGAATCCTAAAATCCTTCGACCGCTCGAAGGATTGAATCGAAGCCTCAGTAGATCTATCATAACCCAACCTTTTTGTTTCGACGCTGAAACAAAAGAGTATTTTCTAYAACCATGGTGAAATTCACGTCTGGAGCTCTTTCGGCATGCCTCTTGGCGACAGGAGCCACCGCCTTCGCTCCGAAATCGTTTTCYGGAAAGCATGCGTCCTCTTTGTCGATGGTACGTTGGCGTTGAGAAATACAGTAATAGAATTCCGGATATCTTCTATTTTGGTATGCTCGTCTCAATTCATATCATGGTGAAGGAACTTTTCCCATTTATGAGTGACTATGTCCTTTCTCTGCATTCACCAACATTTCATTTCGACTTTTCGCTTCAATTTCTTGGTATTATTCGGTGTCATGCATGGTATTCATTTCCCTTTTTGCATCCTGTAGTCCACCAACACGGCTCCTAATTCCTCGGATGTATTGTGGACTCCCTCGTGGAAATCGGGAGAGAGAGAYGAGGTATATGGAGAAATCGGCAAATACTGCGAGGACCTCAGCTTCGTCACCAGACGTAAAACCCGTACYGTTCACTGCGGGCCCATCAAATTCGGATCTGAACACCCAATCGTCAGACAAACGATGGCAACTACCAACACCGCGGACGTTGATGCCACCATCGAACAAGTAATGAGATGTGCCGACGAAGGTTTCGACTTGGTGCGAATCACCGTTCAGGGTAGAAGAGAGGCCGATGCAGCGGCTAAGATCCGTGAGGGTTTGTTCAAAAAGGGTTACGACATTCCTCTTTGTGCCGACATGCACTTTCAGCCAAAGGTTGCCTTAATGGTTGCAGATTGCTTGGAAAAGATCCGAATCAACCCCGGAAACTTTGCTGATGGACGCAAGGACTTCGAAGAAAAGATTTATGAAACCGAAGAAGATTACATCAGCGAACGACAATATTTGTTGGATGCCATGTACCCGTTGGTGGAACGGTGCAAAGAGTTGAATCGTTGTATGAGAATCGGTACTAACCACGGTTCTCTGTCGTCCCGAGTCCTTTCATTTTACGGAGACACACCTCGTGGTATGGTCGAATCTGCTTTGGAATTTGCTGATATCTGCAGAAGTCAAGACTACCACAACTTCGTTTTCTCGATGAAGGCCAGTAACCCATTGGTCATGGTTCAGTCGTACCGTTTGTTGGCTGCGGAGCAATATCGTATGGGATGGGAYTATCCTCTGCACTTGGGTGTCACTGAAGCAGGAGAAGGTGAAGAYGGACGAATGAAATCTGCCGTGGGTATCGGAACTCTCCTTGCCGATGGTTTGGGAGACACCATTCGAGTATCCTTGACGGAGGATCCAGAGTTCGAATTCGAACCTTGCAATCGCTTGGCAGAAATTGCCGAATCACGATTGGCCATCAATGAAGATGCYAGAGAGCGTCAGGCTGCCGTGAAGCCCTACAAGGACACGCGAGATGTTACCTCCTACCAACGTCGAACCGGAAGTTTGCCAGAACAAAAGGAAGGCGATGTTGTCGATGCACGTGGATTCTTGCAYAGAGATGGTTCCGTTTTGTCGGTAGTTACTCCCGAAATGCTTTCGAAGGAAAACGTTCAGTATCTATACCAAGAACTCGGTTGCAAGACCGCGGTTGGTATGCCCTTTAAGGATATCGCCACATCCGATTCCATCTACATGCCAACCATTCCTCCGTCCAGCGATACAGACGCCAGAACTGCTCTTCGACGTCTGATTGAGGTCAGCATGGGTGTCATTGTCCCYGCTGAGGAATTGGAGAAAGACCCTCTCCCCAATGCAGTAGCCCTTGTCAGTCTMAAGGACGCTATCGCCAATGATGGAAAGGTAAGGACKGAACATCGTATGATTGTATCTTATCGATTCTGTTGTGATAGCGAACTAATTGTATTTCYCTATGATTCATTCTTTTTTGAACGACTCGATACCGTTCTCGGCACAGCTTCCAGAAGGTGCCATCCGTTTGGCTCTTGCCCTCGACGGAGATGAAACTGACGAAGAGATCTTGAAGGTCAAAGATTTGGAGCCTATCATGTGCATCCTGAAACCCAAGAAGGGAATTAGTCACTTGCATTCMTCTCGTCGTGTTTTCGAAATTTTCAACGATAACGAGATTGAGACGTCTGTAGTCCACCATTTCACTACCGACACAGATGAMTCGAACGAATTAGCGCTGCAAATTGGAACACAAATTGGTTCTCTACTCACTGATGGAAATGGTGACGGTATTATGGTTGAGCAAGTTGGAGAGAAAACTCCATTTTCGGTCGACTTCCTTCGAAAGACATCATTTTCTCTTCTGCAGGGAGCACGTTTGCGAAACACGAAAACTGAATTCGTGTCGTGCCCGTCGTGTGGACGAACCTTGTTCGATCTCCAAGAGACAACTGCTAATATCCAAGAAGCCACGGGACACTTGCCTGGTGTAACCATCGCGGTTATGGGATGTATTGTCAACGGACCTGGTGAGATGGCCGATGCCGATTTCGGATACGTAGGAACCCTTCCAGGAAAGGTCGACTTGTATTACGGAAAAGAGGTTGTAAGAAAGGGTATCCCCAATGAYGACGCTGTTGATGCGCTCGTTGACCTTATCAAGGAATATGATATGTGGAAAGACAAGGACGAGGAAGAGGAGACGGAAGAAGCCGAAGCTGTCACAGCATGAATCAAGTTTTAATTGAAAAGCGCAAATTTTAARCAAAATTTATTTAGTTCYAAACAACTCGTACTTCTCTTYATARATTCAATTGCGATATGTTTATCTTCATGCGAACTAAATTGAGTAATGGYAAGRTGTTGGTCTAACTATGCACCGAATTCGATACCTGCCGTAGTCKTCTGATTTTTTAAGTTCCTGAAAATCATTATCCTGAAGGCTGACAACAAGTATGCGAAGYAMCTATACAACCTTATTGCGCGATGAGACAAGCCAAGGATGTTTTTGAACCCATTCATCCACAATCGGTTTCGAATACAAATAGCTCTTTTCCACAATTTCATCAAATCTATCGTATTCAAGAGTTCCTACAAAAAAGTTAATCAAGARGAGTTTATTTTCATGAGGTACATGTACGAAACAAAACAGAAAAAAAAACACCCACTGTTCAAAGTGGCTTACCTACGTCTTGAATAGGTGGGGTCAAATACAGATCACTAACAATCTTCACTGACTTTCGATGCTGTTCTGAGGAGACCCAGATCAACATATCTTGGATATCTCCCATTGAGGGGACTTGCACTGTTTTTACGAAAGGATTCCAACTATTCCAAAGAAGCCACCAACCACTCAAATGCGTACCGTACTCAAAATATTCTCTTTTACATTCTTGTGATACATCGACTGCAATCACTGCACGAGCTCCCATTTGGTATTTCATCACATCTGCTGGAAGACTATTCAAATATCCACCATCTACTAGCAACGATCCATTTTCTGCGATGGGAGGTAGATAACCAGTCAAACCCATGCTAGCCCGAACATTTTTCCAAAGCTGACCTTTCGTGTGGATTACAGTAGACTGATTTTGCAGATCTACTGAAACACAGAAAAAGTTCAGCACTAAATCTTGAATTCTCAATTYACCCAATAACTTCTTGATACCTCTGTTGAATCTTCGCCCTGCGAACATGCTTGCCATTGGCAGAGTCAAGTCGAGCAACTTTTCTTTCATCGATGCAGCATCTTCTGCCATGACTCTACAAGAACTTAATACCTGGTCATAGTTATCTGGATACCTAGCGAATAAGGCCCCGCAAAAGGCCCCTTGTGAGGTCCCACCAACGATGTCGACTGTAACTCCGGCTTCTTTCAATGCACGAATGACACCTGATCAAAAATCAATTTTGAGAAAACAAAATTTTTGGTGTCATCAGTTTCAACCGAACAATTTGATACATACCTAAATGAGCTATGCCTCGAGCACCACCAGCCCCCAGTACAAGGCCCACGGAACGACCTGAGACCCTTCGGCACATCCGTTGGAAATCTAATTGGTGTTGACCGAATGGAGCCCKTACTAAATGATGGCCAGAAATCCATTCTTTTGATTCCATCCAGTTGTTGAGCTGATCACTCACACTGACATAATGTTCGTCCAAATAGCTGAGAYTACGGTTTGTCTCAGCACTTTCAACTCCCTTTGACTCTTCTTTACCTACTACTACAAGCTCAATGCGAACGTCCATAGCTTCGTAAGCCCATGCAAGTGTCTGCTCTACTCTTGATGTTTCAGGCGCTTTTTGAGAATCCACGACAAGCAAAATGCAGTCTGCTTGCAGCACACAGAGTCTCGTCCAAAATGTGAATTTCGGGTCAGCTTGATAGATGACAACACGATTGTTTTCTTCTAAATCAGCCAACAGTCTTGTCATTTTGACACKGTGCAAGGCGTCCCGATTTCGGTACAGTTTTTCTCCCAACTCTTGTTTCACAAATGATTTGGTGAGAACTTTACAAGGGGCTATTGTCTCCATTGCGTTGCGCAACGTCTTGCAGAATCGTTCCAAATCAATGTTGTAAGACAAAGGAACAACAGCAACTGTTGCTAGATTCAATCCATAGCTWGGGAGATGAAAAGGAAGTGGCTTCGTCTTGRAAACGCCATGAGTGCCATTTTCGTTGGTTGAACTTTTGTCCGAAACGCTTCCTGYAACAGCCTGATTGGACGAAATACTTCTCGATAGCCCATGGTTTGGGAAATACAATGATCCAACATCAGATGCCACTTCTCGAGCCAGAGACAAACCAGCATGTGGAAAATTTTGTACAACAATTTCTATCGTCTTGATGGGAATCTTTGCGAGCTCGGACTGGCGGATTGCAAACACATTAAACGGCCAATCGACATTGGCCAATGATCCAACTTGGCCGAAAATTTTGCCCCTTCCATATTCCTGTGGTGGTATTGCATGCGAAGAAACTGTATGTAGAGCGTGCTGATGAATTTTTGATCGATTAGCAGCTCGTAATCTACCGTTGAGTACGACAAACAAGGAATTGCAGGGGGTTCCTTTTCGTACAATTTCGCCAGCTGCCTCAACGTTCATCCATTCGGTCGTCCATGTCAGCAAGTGTACTATTGGGCTCAGAGCGGAAAGTACGGGTACCAACGAAGTCGTCATTGCCTGTGGATGTTTTACGACAAGGTGAGCATACACATCTTTTGGTATCCGGAGAAGAATTGCAGGTTCCTCCTGTTTTTCTGTTGCTGCAACACATCGGATTTCAAACAAATCGATATCTGTAGTAAAGAGAGCACTGGTTCCAAAAATTGACCCCGGGGAAATTGTTTCTATTCGTTGAAAATACCAAGCACCTGCATCGATTTGTTGTTGCTTTGACGAAGACTCCCCTAGTGGTAGATGGATCCCCATTTCCATTGCTCCTTGTAAGAGGTAGTAGCAAGAATCATGATTGGAACCAGCTTCTAGAAGCACTCGGCT